ATCGTAATATTTTCTAGCTCATCCCTGCTATTTTTGAAAATGTCAATGATCCCCAGACTTTTTTTTTCTCATCCTCAATATTTTCTATCTCATCCCCCCAAAAAATTTAGCTCATCATCAATATTTCCAACACTTATGTACCTCATGTTTCATTTCATTCCCGATATTTTAAGATAAATTTTGATGATATTTTCTACCTCATTGCTAATATTTTAAAATACTTTGCAGCCCTTCCCCAATACATATATGTTTTCTAGCTCATCCCCAGTATTCTTAGCTCCATCCTCAGTATATTCTAGCTCATCCACAGTATTCACCAGTATTTTCTAACTGATCCTCAAAATTTGCCATCTTTTTCTAGTTCATCCCCAGTATTTTCACGCTCATTTCAAATATTTTCATGCCCGGTATTTTCCAGCGTATTCCTAATGTTTTCTATCTTATCCCGAATATTCCCCAGTATTTTCTAGATTATCCCTATTACTTTTTAGCTCATCCCGCCCAGTATTTTTTAGCTCCATCCTCGGTATTTTCTCGCCCATCCTCAGTTACGTACTCCCCAGTATTTTCTAGCTCATCCCGAATATTCCCTATTATTTTCTAGCTCTTCTCCAGTATTTTCTGGATTATGCCTATTATTTTCTAGGTCCTCGTAATACTTTTGAGTTCATCCCCAGTATTTACTAGATCATTCTCAGTATTTTCTAGTTCCATCACTAGTATTTCTAGCAGTATTTTCTAGCTGAACACTAATATTTCTTAAGTCATCCTCAGTATTTTCTAGATTATTCCTAATAGTTTCTAGCTCATCGCCAATATTTTCTTGCTCTTCCCTAATATATTCTAGCTCATCTCATATATTTTCTAGCTCCATACCAAGTATTTCCTAGCTAACCCACAGTATTCTTCAGATTTTTTATAAATCATTCCCAATATTTCCTAACTGATCCTCAAAATTTGCCAGTATTTTCTACACCGTCCCCAATATTTTCTAACATATTCCAAATGTTCCCCAGTATATTTTTTTTTT